CAAGTTCTTTCTGTTCAGTTGTCATATTGGTTCCAACAAGAGAGTTAGCGCTTCAGACATCACAAGTTTGTAAGGAACTTGGAAAACATTTGAGGATCCAGGTTATGGTTAGTACTGGAGGGACCAGTTTGAAGGATGACATTATGCGTTTATATCAACCTGTCCACCTGCTTGTTGGAACACCTGGTCGAATCCTTGACCTTGCGAAAAAAGGTGTTTGTGTCTTGAAGGATTGTTCAATGCTTATTATGGATGAGGTAATGCATTGAAACTTAATCTAACTCTTTTATTTTCAATGGGAATTTTTGTGTGGTCTTTAAAGGTGCCACCCCAGAATCCTATATTCTTAGCACATCTTTTTGCAAAAAGTGAAAAATATAGTTTTTCATAGGATACTTTATTGTTCTTAGGCATATCTCTCAAGAATCTGATTCTCATAAGATGGTTTGGTTTTCTTTTCCTTCTTTGTTTTTGTTTCTTGGATTTCATATAGTTTGAGAACCTGTCTTGTGCACTGTTACTTTGGTTTAATCTGCTTGTGAAGGATGTCTAACTGCATGGGAATGTGTGTTGCTATAAATGGTTTTTTTCTCTGTTAAGCATTGGAAAAAAGAAATTTTACCATCTAGTTTTATTGGGACATTGATCATTCATTTACAATACAAACTAAATGAAGTATTTCTAAGGCAAAGAATATTATTTTCTGATGTGTGATATAGTTTTTTATGAAAGATTGTTTGTGCTTTTAGAAGGTTGCAAGTTAAATTTCTTCAGCCTAATCTACTCATTTGTTTTGAAATTTACCAATCATTTCAACCTACAGTTTAATCATTAACAATTGATGCTGACCGCTAAAGAAAACATGTGACCTTTGTAGATTATCATGTCATTTATCTTTTTTTTTTTGCTTCTCTATTCTCTCTTTTCTAATGGCAACTAACATTTTCTCATTTCACAGGCTGACAAGCTACTGTCTCCTGAGTTTCAACCAACGATAGAGCAGCTTATTCAGTTTCTTCCTGCCAATCGGCAGATTTTAATGTTTTCAGCAACATTTCCTGTAACAGTGAAAGATTTTAAAGACAAATACCTTCCAAAACCCTATATTATCAATCTAATGGATGAACTGACACTGAAGGGAATAACACAGTACTATGCTTTTGTCGAGGAAAGACAGAAGGTCCACTGCCTGAATACCCTTTTCTCAAAGGTTTGCCTTCAACTGTAGTACTTTGTATTTGGAGTGTTTTTCATAGTTCTGAGAACAATGTTTTTTTAACAGCTTCAAATTAACCAGTCTATTATTTTCTGTAACTCTGTTAACCGAGTGGAGCTGTTAGCAAAGAAGATCACTGAGCTTGGTTATTCCTGCTTCTACATCCATGCTAAAATGCTGCAAGATCATAGGAATCGTGTTTTTCACGACTTCCGCAATGGAGCATGCAGGAATCTTGTTTGCACAGGTATGGTATTTTTTTTTAAGTCTAATTTTTTGTATGAGATTAATCATGTAGATATCTAGTTATATTAATTGTTAGAAATGTGCTGCCAGCTTTTTTCTCATCCAAATGAATGCAGTTCATGCACAAACAGTGACATGATTTGTGACTTTTTTTGTACCTAATTCATAGTTCTTAGCTTGTATCCAATGATTTAAAAAGCGTTTGGCGTCAAAAGACGCTAAGGTCCCAAGACACTCGAGGCGCTATGTGCTCGCTCGGGCGAAACAAGACGTTCTAAAATATTTAAATATAAAAAATAAATAATATAACTAAAAATATAATTATTTAAATTAAAATATAATATTAAATTAAAAATATACTGTTAACAGTATATTACTTAAGTTAGAAGAGGAGAAAAAAATTTCTCTGAAATATTTAAATATAAAAAATAAATAATATAACTAAAAATATAATTATTTAAATTAAAATATAATATTAAATTTAAAATATAAGGTTAACAGTATATTACTTAAAGTTAGAGGGGGGAGAAAAAATTGTTAATTGTAACAGAGGGAGATAGCAGTAGCGCTGCGAACGACAACAACGACAACGGTTTAAGATACTATTAACAGTATATTACTTAAAGTTAGATGGGGGAGAAAAAATGTTCAGTAACAAAGATAGCAGCAGGGCTGTGAACGACAGCAACGGTAGCGGCGGAAGCTGCGAACAATAGTAGTGGCAGCGGTGAAAGTTGCGGACAGCAGCGGTAGCAGTGACAGAAGCTCTAGAGGGCGTCCGTTGGTGGGGAAGGAACTTGTGGTCCTCTCCCTCGACAATGGAAGGATGCGACAATAGAAGGAAGCTACGGGGGCCGTCGGACTTGTCCGTCGACAACAGAGGAAGGCTCGGTCCGTTGTGTCGGCGGCTAAGGTTCCTCGGGGTCGCGCAGGCGTGAAGCGTGGTTTTGCGGTAAGAAACTATAAACCGAACCAGCTTTAAATCGATTCGGTTCACCTAATAGAGTCGGGCGCTCACTCGAAGCGCCTAGGCGGCGCATCATTGAAGCACGTCGCCTGGTGCACACACAAGGCGCTTGAGCCTCGCCTCGCCTCGCCTTGCCCGAGCGCTTAGGCGAGCGCCCGAGCGCCTATTTAAATCACTACTTGTATCGTATGGTCATATATGCCGATCAGTTGTGACCTTGATCATAATTGTTATCCGGCATCCTGTGCTGAAACTGTCTATGCCCATAGTTTCTCCTCTGACCGAGCATGTTTTAGTTGTTTAATTTTATTTTGTTGTCAATTGACACTTTGTACAAGCAACTCATTGTACCGCAGCTGGTGTTGTCTAAGTCCGTGTTCCAATTTGTGTTATGCTTATATTTAGTAAATTGTTTCTGTTGTCATTTTATGTGACCTGCTATTAAAATGTTTTTCCTCCCCTGTGGCATTTTGGCTTGTCTTGCAGATCTATTTACAAGGGGAATTGATATTCAAGCTGTCAATGTTGTCATCAATTTTGATTTTCCAAAGAACTCTGAAACATATCTGCACAGGGTATGGCCTTTGATTCTCTAGTGTTAAGTTAAAATTCTTAATTATGAATGTCAATTCAATTGGACATGTAAGCTAGCTATCATGAACTGGTCATCCAATAGCGTTTCTTCATCCAGTTCTAAGAATAAATCGAACTCTTAGAACCCATGCTCTATTATTGTCGACATTGATGATTACCTTGAGTTTGCTTGTACTTGCATGTCTCTAAATTAATTTGATCTCGGAATTGTTCGTTTACTTGTTTGTTGCATGCTTTTGCTGTATGGAATTTTTCTCTGATTCGATCCTGAAGACAAAAAAGTATATGTTTAAACCAATTTACCAAGAGTAACTATTATTGTTGGACAATTTCAGGTTGGTCGTTCAGGCCGATTTGGTCACCTTGGTTTGGCCATCAATCTGATCACCTATGAGGATCGCTTTAATCTGTATGATCACTTATCAATCTTTGATATGCTAATATACTTTTAATTTGACCCTCATCTTCTTTTCTGAAATACAATAATTAATTGCCTTATGACAGGTATAGGATTGAGCAAGAACTTGGAGCAGAAATAAAACAGATTCCGCCGCAGATTGATCGCACTATATACTGCACGTGAACCACAGCAAGTTATGTCTGGCCTTTCATGGTGAATAACTAGAAGAATACTTGTAAATACTGGCATGTCAAGTGTGGAAGTCTCTTACGCATTTGCTATTTCTAAATGGCCCCATTTATGATAGCATGAAATAGAAACAGATCCTTGTCTGATTGCACATATACATTTTTGCCTATCTTTGCATTTCATGAATACTGAATGAGATGTCAATAATGATAGTGCATAGGTCACCCAAAGGCAGCTTGTAAGCGTCTGTCTTTTAATGGTTAAATAGATTTACTGTTGACCAAGAAGCATACTATAAAAGTTGTAATGCCCAACTATTGGGTATTGGGTACTTGGGTCTTTTGTCATTATTAAGCGATCATTGCTCAAACTACGAATGAGCAAATCAATCTCTATAGTTCCATTGTTAGGTTACCTTCTATTTCTCAGTTCGCACACCACTATCATAAATTAGTTACTTTGTCTAAAAGGTGCACCACTAATTATAATATTGCAAATTTTAGGATGTATCTCTGATTTTTGATGAAATGAGAAAAAGATGTCTAAGTTAGTATGTGCATGTGCAAAGGATTGCAAGAATGGTATAATCGACATGTGCATTGAAGGCTATCCACCAACGTTGGTCCTTGTTAAGAAATAAAAAGTAATTTTGCATATCCTTTTACTCTTATTGATCATCAAGAATGTGAACTAATATATGCTCTGATCTTTTTGCTCTCTGTTAGATTTTTCTTTTTCTTTCTTTTTGCTAATTCTGAATTTTGGCATCTTGTTTTTTAATCCTCTGAGCAAGCTATGCATACTTGTGATGTAAACGTTTTGTTGAACTGCATGCACATATTGTCATTTGATACTAATTTTCCCTTTTCACTAAACACATTTATTATTTTGTAACTGTGTCCTCTCGTCTAATTACCTGACATCAACCTTCTTTGTATATAGGGTTTATCTCATTACCTTGTTCATACCGTCATGGCAGCAGATGGCACAATGGATATATCAAAATCAGCTTTTATTTTTAGACTATGCTGATACCTATTGGGTAACTTCAAATCATGATCATTCTTGACTGTGTTGTCAAGTTGGGTATTAGATTCTCTTGACACGCAGGTGGAAGAAGGCTTTAAATTGTCTGTACTTTGGTTCTCTTTTCAACCAAGTACTGGGTAAGGAGATAATAGTCGCATCATGTTGTATGCACCGAATGCGCACAGTTGTAGTTTGCAAAGTAGGATTCTCATCTCCAAATGTCTGTTTAAATACCTAAATCTAACCACTGTTCTAAATTGTAGGTTTATGCCATAAACAAGTTATCCGTGGCATGTTTGTGCTTATGGTTTTGTACTATCAACTTGTGTAGAATGTGTTGAATGTTCTCGTTTGCTGATAAACCAATTGTAGTAGATGATCAGTAACAAGGCCTGGAGCAAGGACCAGATGAGCTGCTCAAAATAAATGGTTTCAGCTGTTGCTTCAGGTCAGTACTTAAAAGATGTTGGTAATTTTCTTGTCGAGCAATAAAGAAAATTCTTTTGATAAGAGTGGTTCTTAAAATTTAAAATGAAAAATTGATTTGTTTACTTGGGTTGGGCATTTAAGTGTTCGTTTTGGGATATAATTTAAGTTCAACTCTATTTCGGATTTCATAAAAAAACATTCAGTGAGAACGTATGGTTGCTTGATACTCTAATCAGTGATTTTGGTTTTTGATTTCGAACTAATTATTATTATTATTATTTAATTTTTAACTTTTTATTTTATTTTATTTAGAATCGAATCGGAATCGTGGATTTTGATTTTGGTTTGGGATTCGATTCGATTTGAAACTGCAGAATTGTTGATCGATTTTTATTTCAAATTTCAATCGGTTCAGTTTGAATCGGAATCGGTCTCGGGTTTTGGTTCAGTTTCGATTTCTAGATTTGAAAAATCGAAATCATTCGTCGGTTTTATAATTTTAAATTATTTTTAATAATTTTTTTTATATTTATAAAATTTTAATTAAAATAATGAAAAAAAAATTAATGGTTTGAATCGAAATCGGAGTTTCGGTTCTGATTTTAAAATCGTTTCTTGTCGATTTGATTTTGATATTTTATTTTGGAGAATTAGAACCATGGAAAGGCCTAAGATTGGGGTTAGGACTACTCTTGGATGCTTGCAATCATTTTGCCCTGGCAAACATGCTATAAAATACTAACAACAATCATCAATAAATAGCTGATAAATAAATATTGATCGATTCAAATAATTTTTTTCTTGGGTCATTGTCACGTAAACTGACCTGTGTCTACAGGACGTCAAACCCTAGGAGCAAGTAAAGTAGCCCATTCATTCATTTTCCTCCCTCGAAGTCCAACTCCGGAGAAGAAGCAAAGCCGAAGACTTTCTTCTTCCCCACTGCCTCTCCTGTCCTTTCACGCATTCATGGCAGCACATGCCTTGGAAGGAGGAGGAAGAAAGCTCCGTTCAAAGTAGTGTCCTGATCCCAGTGCTGCTTTCCCTCGACTCCGGTCCACTGTGTCACGGACACGCACAAACGGAACCATCTATCTCCCTCGGCTTACTCACTCGCAGTCGGCTGCAATGGCGAAAAGCCTCTCGCATTCAATTCACGATTCTCTCTCCTACATATCCATCTGGGTAATAGCCCTCCTCTCCTCTCCTCTCCTCCCCTTGCGTTGCATTTACTCCCATCTATGCCAGGTTTTTCTTCCCATTTCTTTTCCTGTGTGTCTTTATGCTTGTGGATCTCATTAAATGCTGTGTGATGGAGAGAGATGATTTGAGGTTCTGGGGCTGCCTTGTTGCAGGTCAGATCCCGTCGCATTTATTGTTTCAAGATTCGCCCTCTCGGGTTATTAAAGAACCCTGAGATCGAGCGCTCTTGATCCTTCCTTCTTCCTGCTTCTTCTTCTTTGCTTCCTTGCTTGTTCGCTCCTTGCATTGTACTGAGCCGTCGTCATTTAAGAAGGGGTTTGGGAGCGATAACAGTGGGAATGGGACGATCTCCATGCTGTGACAAGCAAGGGTTGAAGAAAGGGCCGTGGACGCCGGAGGAGGACAAGATCCTTGTCGACTTCATCCAGTCCCATGGCCATGGCAGCTGGCGCTCTCTTCCAAAGCTCGCAGGTTCCTCAGTTTTCCTCTTCTTCTTCTTCTTCTTCTCCTCTGCTTTCTTTTGAAGATAGTAGTGTGAATGGTACATAAGCAAATACTTTTTTAATTTTAGTTATCTGAAATTAATTCTCACAATTTCATGTTTTTTTGAAGAGAATTAATTGAGTTTAACAGTCCCAATTTAACACTTGCAAATAATCCCTCTCTCTTACAATTTCATGATATGATTAATGCAACATAAGGGGCTAAAATAAAGTATATATTTTTTCTCAATATGAAATGTCATGAAGCATTAGAGTCGAACTGCTTAAAGAATGATACGTACGTCAATGGTCAACATTAAGCTCAAAAGCATGCGTGCAGGTCTGCTTCGATGCGGCAAGAGCTGCCGGCTACGGTGGACGAACTATCTCCGGCCCGACATCAAGCGCGGCCCCTTCACTCCGGAGGAAGACAAGTCCATCATCCAACTCCACGCCATCCTCGGCAACAAGTGAGTCCCATGATCTCTTCTTCTTCTTCTTCTTCGCGTCATCCTTCGCTTATCTTAGACCCAGCACGCGTTCCATCTCTTCGTCCCCGGCAAGCTTCGCGTCACAGTGAATGCAGCGTACGTACTTCGGAGTCGTCGGGCGTCTCGCTGTCATGGTGGGACTCGACCGCGTGGACCTTGCGCTCTTTCTTTCGTCTCTTTTCGTTATTTCATTGCCCTTGTTTTGATCCGGTCGAATTTATTGCGGTCGTGTAGTAATATCGGCTGCAGTCCAATTGCTGTCCTTGTTCTTCGGCTCTTCGCTCTCTCTCTCTCTCTCTCACTCTTCTTTGAAGAGACAGCGTGTGATGTGTTGGATAAGCAGGTGGTCGGCGATAGCAGCGCAGCTGCCGGGGCGGACGGACAACGAAGTCAAGAACTACTGGAACACCCACCTCAAGAAGCGCCTCCTCGTCCACCAACACCACCACCACAACCACCACCAACGCCTGCACATGTCCTCATCCACCGCGACCGGTAGCCACATGGCGCAGTGGGAGAGCGCCCGACTAGAGGCTGAGGCGCGCCTCTCACGTGAGTCCTTCCTCTTCTCCAGCTCTACCACCGCGGCCGCCTCATCCGCCGCTCCCTTCGCCGGCGCCGTCTCAGAGCCCGACTCCGACCTCCCGCCTCGCGCGGCCGAGCCCGACTTCTTCCTCCGCATCTGGAACTCCGAGGTCGGTGCCGCCTTCCGACGCCGCTCTCCGGACTGCGCGTCGACGCGCAGCTCGGCACCGGCCCGGGAGGAGGCGGAGAGCAAGAGTTGCGTGACGGTGGGGCACCCGGCGGCGGCAGCGGCGGCGGCGGCGGGGATGGACGTCGACTCGATCGGGTCGAACGAGGTCGCGGAAGAGACGGAGGACGAGGAGGCGTACCAACTGTATCTTGACTTCCCGGGCGACGACCTGGGCTTGTTCACCGTGCAACTCTCCTCCCTCTTCTCCGCCGACCTCAACGAGGCTTACTTCGACACTGCCTTCAAATGACAAGCACCACAAGCCTCGTCCTCCTCGTGTGTTCGTGTTGGCGTTGGATTCCGTCGTAAGATTCTGTGGTGCGTAGCCCACAATTTAGGCGATATTTTTGGTATCCAGGATGGAGCTTCCATTTATAACGAGCTTGTGGTTGATGGATGATGTAACCATGGAGATGTCCATACTTGCAGTGATCTCATACGTTTTTGTTTGATGTGCATCTTTTGAAAGTGGCACTAAGAACATTTTGGTCTATGTGTATATTATATTCGATCATTTGGGTCTCTCTTGTGCACAGACGACGATGATTCATAGATTATATTCAAGAAATAATACGATAAAGTTACAAGAGAAATTAATATATTTACTTCCATATAAATTACCTATAATTTATTTGTTTGATTGTGTAACCAAATTGAAGTATATGGAAGCCGTTTATTAGAGAGCTATATCTACTTTGCACGTAGATGCATACACTTTAAACTAGAAAATATTGATGTCATATATATATATATATATATATATATATATATATA